CAGACACATACATTATACTTACAGACACATACATTATACTTACAGACACATACATTATATTTACAGACACATACACTATACTTACAGATACATACATTATACTTACACACATACATTATACTTACAGACACATACACTATAACTTACAGATACATACATTATACTTACACACATACACTATACTTACAGACACATACATTATACTTACAGACACAATAAATTATACTTACAGACACATACGTTATACCTACAGACCCATACATTACTCTTACAGACACATACATTACACTTACAGACACTTACAGACACATACATTACACTTACAGACACATACACTACACTTACAGACAAATACATTACACTTACAGACACATACACTACACTTACAGACACATACATTATACTTACACACATACATTATACTTACAGACACATACACTATACTTACAGATACATACATTATACTTACAGACACATACATCATACTTACAGACACATACATTATACTTACAGACACATACATTATAATTACAGACAAATACATTACTCTTACAGACACATACATTACACTTACAGACACTTACAGACACATACATTACACTTACAGACACATACATTACACTTACAGACACATACATTACACTTACAGACACATACACTACACTTACAGACACATACATTATACTTACAGACACATACATTACACTTACAGACACATACACTACACTTACAGACACATACACTACACTTACAGACACATACATTACACTTACAGACACATACACTACACTTACAGACACATACATTATACTTACAGACACAAATATGCATACGAATGTTACGACATCCCGAGTTAAATTAAGTCCAATAACTCTGTCAGTAATTCGTCAAATTACTTTGTTGTTTTTATTTCCCTTGACCAATTTCAGCCTTGGATTGCGTCATGACACTCCGAACACAAATTCACCTGATAGGACTGTGGTTTATCGTTTCAGGTAGGTCGCAGAGACGTGTATTTTTATGTTTTATTTTAATTGGTAAAAGCTTAGGTCATGCATGCATTACAATTTATAGAAATGTTATAGTATTTAGGGTGAATGGTAGGGTAAGGTTTAGGCTTGGGATTAAAGCGTAGCTAAATACAAAATAAACAAATCATCCTTACCCAAGTATCACCGTCTGAGTTATAGTAAGCGTTTAAGTGTGTCAATTGTCTGGAATACTCCAAGATAGAGCTGTAGCATCGGCTATAATCAGGCTGGTCAGTAGCAAGTTAAAAGGGGAAAGCTTAGTGCGGGCCTGTTGTATGTTCCCCCTCCTTCCTTCCCTATTCTGGATCTGATCAAATATTTGCTGATATGATAACGGGACAGCCACGAATGTAGCTATCACCTTTTTGAAAGAAATCAGTTAAAACGTGGGGCTATTGAATCACGTTTAAAGGGGTCATCCATAAATGACGTCACGCTTTTTTGGACGATCTTTACCTTCCCCCCCTCCCCTCCGTCACACATCGTCACAAAAAGCCAGACCCCCCCCCTAAAATGACGTCACACCTCAGCCTACAACCCCCCTCAAAATTGCAGTTGATTTTTTCTTAAAACATCGATATTTTTCGAAAATCTTGTCTGAACTCTCTCAACATAGAGTATTTTAATCAATTCCTATTACAATTTATTAAAATACTTTTCTAAAACGCGAAATAACGACTAAAATTCGTTTTCCATTACTTTTTGTTAATGCAAAAATGTGACGTCCCATCATCTGAGCCCCCCCCCCCCCCCCCATCACACGCCGTCACAAAATTACGGACCCCCCCCCCCCCCTCCCCCCCTACGAGTGTGACGTTATTTATAAACGACCCATTAGTACTTGAAATATTTTTTTAACGTTGGTCTACCAGTAGCGGATAATTATTCTATCAGATGTAGCCAGACATAATGTACACCCGGGGAGAATGATATTTATTTACAGGTGTTGGCATGATTCTTGTACGCTGTCAGAAATAGATTGTACGCAGCCAGTAGTAGCTGTCAGTGGCGTCGCTAGGTCGGGTGTCACCCGGTGCGGTACTTCGTGGTGTCCCACCCCCCCCCCCCCCCCCCCAAAAAATCAAAGTGTGTCTATATGTTTATAAGCTTTAATCACTGCAGACTTAATAGTAACTATGTTTATCTATAGTCTGATAATAATACAGCTGGATGTAGCATTGTTTTCTCTATTGTTAGCACGTTTACGTCGTGGTGTCACCCCCACCCTCTTGTAATTATTGTCGATTTTTACATAAACGACTATTTAACTTTAATTAACCATTAATGTATCTGGCAAAAAGCAGTTTTCTTCTGTACATTTTGCAATTTTTTTTTTGCCATATGGTGTCATCCGTCTAAATGGTGTCACCGGTGCGGTCCGCCCCCCGCCCCCCGCTCCGCCTCTGGTAGCTGCCATTCATTGTTTGGTTTATATAAGCAGGTGCCGGTAGTGTTGTCGTCCTTGACCC